TATATATATATATATATATATATATATTAAAGATTGAGATTATTTTTAACTTAAAGTTTCAAAAAGGAAGTTTATAATTTTTTTCTTATATAATACATAATTTTATCATTTTTATATAATATAAATATTAAAGATAACTTTATATAGTTTTTTTCTTAATATAAATTTTAAGATTCATTATTCCAACAGCATTCCCAGTATTCTCGGAGTCAACCTCACGAAATAAGGGGTTCGGGTAGAATGATTTAGTGCTCTGTGACACATCGGAATTGATTTAACCTACCCTGTCCTACATTTATTGTGTCCCCTTCATCTTCACCATTGAAAATATTAAGATTTTTTTAGAATATGATGATGGTGAAAAAGTGTCAAACTTCATTGAAGTGATTTTTCACAAAAGTTCATTTATTTAATATGATCCACTTTCAATCAAAAAGTATATTTGAAAATCTTGAAAAACAATTGGTCAGGGTGTAGAAAAAAAGATGACTAAGATTTCAAAAACAAAAAGAAATAAATCTTGAGCCGGTTAAAGATACAAAATTTCTGAAGAAAACAACACTTATAAATAATTTCAGGTGATTAGGAGAAAGACAGATTAAAACAAGTGATGACAATGTAGATGATCAATGCTTAGGTGTGTAAATCTTTTAATTTAATCATTAAGCCCACAAGTTTGTCATTTTAAGGACAAAGAGAAATGCAAATGTGTAAGTGTTATTCATAGAAAAATAAATCGAGAAAAAAGTAATAAATAATGGTGGATTATTTGAATGAAAAAAGAAATATAAGTCTCATATTTCTAAAATATATGAAACTATTCGACTAAGAACAATTTCATGTTTCTACAAAAGGATTTATCTATTTTGTTAAATTGAATTTTGAAGTATTACTTATCAAAATTTTAACTTTTTTTTATATATATAAAAAGTGAGAACTTAATGATTTTTTTTCTTAAAAACAAAAATTTAATTGAGTAAAAAATAATATAAAGATCAAAATAAATTAAAAATTTAAATACAAGAATGACAATTCTTTTTAAAAAAGAATAAGAGTAAGTAAAATAAAAATGATGAAATGTTAAAGGTGGTGAAAGACACATGAATCTGAACAAAAACAATACATAAGGAACACAGAAGGAAAAACACCTTTCAAATAAAAAGTTTCAAGTTATTATAAAATATAGGTTTAACAAATACATGGATGAAAGAAGCATGAAGGGGAATTTCATGGAAAGAAACCACAATTGAAATCAAATTAAAGAAACTTCCATGCTGAGATTGAATGAATTGTGGTTCCTTTCCATCCAATTATTAGGCATTTCCCGTTTCTTTCCACAGTGCAGAAATTCCCACACTCAAATTTTTTGGTAACCAAGTTAGCTTGGTACAATGATGAATCGCTAAATGTAGTCTCCACCATTCTATACCTTGCAAAGAATCTTCTCCAAACATCTATCTTTACATCTCTAACCTTTCTTTCTCCATCTTCCATAGCAACAATGTTCCGTATCCCTTCTGATAATATTCCCTCAATTCGCATTCTGCACTCATAATCTTGCTTCATGCAGGTGTAAATGCAGTCAAAATATGCTGCATAGAAGAAAAATGCTTCAATGAAGCGATTCACAAAGGAGGGTGAATTGTGCTTTGCTTCCAACTCAAGAACTATCATTATAGTTGGTCTGATTTTTGTCATCACCCGCATCAAGTGTTCCAAAGAGACAAAATCCGACACCATCGTCCTCAGCATATAAGGAGAATAAACAGCTACAGCTTCGTCATCTTCAATTCCAAATTGCTCAGCCTTGATCTCTGTGATGCTTCTGACGAAAACTATCTTATATAAAAAGGGCAAGTTCAAGGATTCAGCAAAACTCACTAACCTTTTCCCTGTTTCTTCCAGTCTGGTTTTACCTTGAAGTCCAATGGCAGTTATCTTCAGAAGCTCAACTTGCCTTTCATGCCTCTCAACCAGTGCTTGCATCAAAGCTGTGCATTGCACCCCACATCCAATATCAAGGTTTATGAGATGGATTCTGGTTTGAAATGCCACATGTTCCACAATTGCTTGCACCCCAGCAAACTGCATTACTTGATTGAAAGGAATTTTTTCATGGCACGTAACAGCCATGTTAGTATCCAATCTTAGCTTCTCAATCATTTCCCTTTCCTTGTTTTTTTCACACTTGTTCAATGTCACTTTTCCTCTCGTTTGTCTTTTGATTCTTTCGAGAAGTGCTTGAGAGAAATGAAAGACAACTCTCTGAACGGGGCTTCCACCACCACCTGAGGAGTTCCACAGCAAATGGGAAAGTAGCATGCTGGCACGTTCAAATTGCTGGCACCCTACCCTATCAACAGCTGCCAGAAGAAACTGAGCGAGCTCCACGCCTCTATTTTCTTCTTCCGATAAAACCTGAAGGCTCATTCCATAAGGGTGCACGGGGATGCAAATATCATGATGCCACTGTGTAGAGTTTTGAAGATACCTTGCTCCGGCCAATCTTATTAGTTCTTCAGTTGATAACTTCTGAGGACTAAAGCAAGTTTCAACACTACACCTGATGTTTTGCGTCCCTAGCTTATTGAACCTGCTTCCATAATTTCTCAGGAGCTCTAATGATGCTAGAGAAGATGGCAGCACTTGTTTATCCTTTTGTCCCTTAGTTTCTTGAAAAGAAGACTTCTTTGGTGGCTGAACAGATTCGAAGTTGAACTCCTCTGTCATCACGTGATCAAAATCGAAACTACGTTGCTGCTTTTGAGTTTGATCTACGTGAGTATCTATCCCTGTTAGTTGCTCCGTTGTTGAAGAGAAAGTGTGCTCCCTTTGGAGCACAACATCCTCTCCTTGTATTGAGCCATAACCGCCAAGGAATTCGTTGAATTTGAAAGGTGTGAAGGAAAAAGGACCGCTTCCCATGTTGCGTTAGCTGAAATCTTGGAGGGTATTTACAATTTAAACTCGAGAGAATGAGCTTATAAAGAAAAATATCGACATTGGTGTTTGCACAATCATTATTCATGGTCGGAAAGGAATATTTGTGAGGGGATATATAATATTTCTAGAAGAAATCAAATGCCGCCGTCATCCATGGTTGGTTTATCATTATTGAAACAAATGTTCGAATCAATACAAATTATGAGTAATACTTAAAAGTTTTAATCCGATAAGTGTTCCTAAGAAGTTCAGCCAGCGTGACCAAAGAGTTGAGGAAAACGATGGATGGCCTTTTTTAATTAGGGAGTGGCCATTTCCAAGAAAAGTCCCACAATACCAGACAGACTTTACCATGCACAAAAATACCAGAAATATGCTATAGATTGCTGATGGTATATCTCTAGATCCTTTGGCTAAGACTAAATTTGTCCTGCAGCAGGAACTGTGCTACATTATGAGATGTTTCCTAGGAATTTTTTGGTTATATTTATGGCCATATGTCTTTGTCTAGTCTGGTAGGATGCATATACGAAGGCTTTTAATTGTAAGACCATTTTGTTGAAACTAAAGAAAAAGAAGTACTTCTTCTTTTCAATTAATACTTTGTTTGCATTATAGGGAGTCAAAAAGATGAAAATGGAGAAAAAAATGATGGAAAGTTAGATTGTTTAGATTAAAAAAAGTGAAGAAACACCAAAGAAAAATTGTGAAAGTTTGAGTTACTCGTACATCAAATTCCTTCAACGCATGACCTACATTACACCATTCCTATATTATTCAAATTCTATGCTTGAGTTTCTACATGTCATTGCAGTGAATTCTAAGTCATGGAAAAGAGTTTACCAAACAACTAGAAAATAGGCTAGATGATGAGGAGGTAGATGTGTGTGCGCATAATTTAAGGATGAGAACAAAACTAACCCCACATGGTTTAAGAAAAATATAAGAAATTGTTGCAACCCAATCCGGTAATACCTTATGGAACATCTGATTCAGAAGATTTATTTTTAATGTATTTTAGAATACATATTTAGAGTATACTTTTGGATCCAAATATATATTTTAAAAATGTTTTTAAAATACATGCTAGATTGCGTGATTTGGAAGGTTTTTCTAAATTTAGAAATACACTCAAATGTATTCAAAAAATATATTTCAAAACATGCAAGAAGATATGTTCAAATATGAAAATACGATTTGAAATACACATGTCAAATATATTTTTTAAATGTATTTCAGAGTAACTTTTACCTTTCATAATTTTAAAATGAGGAATAATTTAAGGTTTATGGGATTTATAGGGGTGCAGAAAGAATAAAAGGAGGTGGAAGAAACAGCCAGAAAGAAAATGTCAAGATCCATGCACCAATTACTTCGAAATTAAGTTTAAACAAAATAGTTTTACACTAAAAGAGTCCTACTAATTAAGTTTAAATTAAATAGACTGAGGGTTATATCGAAAGAAAACACAGTCCCGTATCTAATATATTAAAGATTATATAAACGTAAAAGTAATTATATCTGTAAACACTCTTTCACTGTTATTACATTTTAACTCAATAAATGGCAATGTAATAGGTTAACCCACTAAAACCCCTCACCTGTGTCAGCTAACCTTGATTGTCTATAGAAATTTAGGATCTTTGCAAAATTTAAAATCAAGTTATAATGTAGTTTCATTCATTAGTTTTACTGTATCCTTTCAATAAATAACACGTTTAATGGATTTATTCTAACTAACATTATAGTTTATCTTAAATGAGATTTAAGAAAAATTCATAAAAAATAGTAATGATGGTATTCGTAAGTATTGGCAATATTTTTATTTTGGTTAACGTATCTATTTTAAAAACAATATACGTTGACATTATATGTATGATTTACGTGTGACACTATTTTCTTTTATTATAACTTCTTTCAATATTTTAAAAATCAATAAAAAAACTATCAATATTAAAATATTCATAAAAACTTAAAATTGTTTGAGAAATAATACAATACTTTTAGTTCATTATAATCTTAAATTTAAAATTTTTAAGATTCAAATAAAACACCAAGTACGATTTTATTTCTTGAAAACCAAGCAAGTTGATGTACAATTATCAAAACTAAACGACTTTAATGATCAACTACTAATAATATGCCTTTAATCATTGATGCCTATAGCGAGTAATAATCCAAAGTTTTGCTAACATATCCAATACGATCGAGTTTGTACTTTTAAAACTCTTGGTACACCTATCTTTAAAAAATAAATAGGACGACATTCCTTTGGTGAAGTAAAGGTATATAGGATTAACACCATCACAACGAAATCACGACATTAGAGTTGGTCGTGGGAGATTAGCATCAAAAACCAATCTTATTAGACGGTTTGGAATGATTATTTCAGACGCGGTTCTAACAAAACAACTTATATATTATCTAAACGATAAAAAAAATATATCATATTGATTTGTCGCGGGTCATGCCAATAAATAGCCACATCAAATAATAAGCCATGTTAAAGAACTAATCATCGACATGTTGAGCAATAACACGTTTCCAATACAATATTAGTGGCGCGTTTGTTACAATTTTGCAAAAGCATACAATATTGTAATGTCTCTGACCAGAGAGAAGAGGAAAAAATTTGAGGTAAGAGATGGTGAATTTGAAAGTAAACAAAAAAAAAAACAAAAGCAAAAGGAGAATAGAGAAAATCGGTCAACTCTATCTACACCTTGTCGTCGTTCTGATTCGATTCCACCTCTATTGTTGTTGGCCTTCTTCTACAGAGAGAAACCATGAACATCCACATCATACCTTTCACAATCCTCACCATCCCAATGGTCACAACGAGATAATACAACCACCATCCAACAAAGTCACAAATTCCCACATCCATCAATTGCTCATTCTTCACTTGGGCCACAACCACCAGAGTCTCCACCTCCTCCCTCAACCTCCACCACCACAAGATGCCCAATCCCGCAGCCAGGCCCACCCTCTCCACCCACCTCTCTTTCCGGGCCCCGGCGAATACAGTGTCATCCACGACGGGCCTCACCACCATCCGACACCATACATAGGTGGTCTCGTGCAGGCCCAGCAGAAAAATCATCCTGCTCAACAGGCTTCTCTCCGTTCCGAAACCGGACACGTCATCATCGTACTCGTAAAGGCCAGCTGCAATGCTCCCCTCGATGCCCAAACCGACGCAGACTTGGAACGCGCATAGGAGAATCCAAGCTAGGGAGAGAGAAGAGGAGTTGGAGGGTGTCTGACTAAAGATTTTGTTTTTACCCATGAGCCCCTGGATGAGGGTCCCTACGCTGACAATGGAAACCAAAACGTAGAGAAGACATGGGTTGATGTGGAGGGCAAGGTGGAAAAGATAGGGAAAGTCTTGTGTTGAATACTGGAACAAAGTTAGGGTCTGAAGGTAATATTGGGCACCGGAGAGAGTGGCCAAGAGAAGAAAAGACAGAGGTAGAAGGAGGCTGAGGATGACGACGGTGAGGAGGTAGAAAACCTCTCTTAGGTTGAACCACTCTTTCATTTGTTTCCAAGCTCCAATCATCATGAATCACTCCAACCAACACCCCTCTTAGCTCTTTATTTTCAGCCCACGGGAAGTTCAACGTTAAGCTCCCTCTGTTTGTGACTTAACAACCATTTTCTCCACCTCAAGTTTAAAAGTGGTTGCCACGTCCATTGCTATTGCTTACTTCACATTTTATATATATAGGACATGCTCTTCATTTCCTCACTATCTTTTCATATTTATTTTCGTTTGGCCTAATTAAATATACGTATCAACGTGATTTATAACAAATTCCTTGTTTAGTTATTTATCCTCTCCCGTGGGTTTGGTACAAATGAAAATACTGCTTTGAATAATGGTATTGTGTTTTGCTGCATGTTTGACGGATGATGGAGCCACTTTGAATTTTCGAGGACTCCTCTTCCTCCTTATGATCAAGCATTAGTTACTAATTTCACTCACTCAGATTTACAACTAGAATAATTAGTATATGTGTAGTTATTTGATGTGCATTTGCATGATAAATCGTATGCTGTGTGGTATCTTGTTGTGTTGAGTTTATCTGAAAATGATGGGTGTCGCCATGTTGAACTATACCTGAAGTTACTACCTTAAAATATCATCAATTGTGAACCACATTCTATAACTTTTGGCTTGAATTAGATATAATTGCAGTTGAAGTTATTAAGTGAAGAGGAAGTAGGAATTGTATCTCATATAGATATTTAGTTGAAAGTAGGATCTAAATCTATTCTTAGAGTTTAGGCCGTCCGGTAAAGTGCAATATTGTGTAAGAGTGTTAAAATCAATTTTACTCCTTTCTTCTTCTTCTTTATATTTTACCAAACATTTTTTTAAAAAAAAATATAAGTCAAATTAGTCATGAGAATCTAATAGTTATAAGGAATGAGCTCACCCACCCGTACTTTTAAAATACGCAATTTGACAAATAAAATAAAAATGTGTACCAAACTTGATTGATTGTGAAAGTCAAAACAAGAGATACAAATCAAAATTACAATTTGACAAATCTAGATAGATGGATATAACTCGTTCAGACCACTGTCAAACTGAATTGGTGAATTTCTAAAATCAAACTAATTAACTAGTTAATATAGTTTGATCGATTCATCAATGCTGCTGAAGGGTTATAATATTGGTCCCTGTTTTGGTACGTTGAAAAGGGCTTTGTCTCTACTATAATCATTATCCGTATCGCTGTCCACAGAGTTTAAAATTTATATGGAAAGGCACAATGACTAAGAAGATCCGTATGGATTATATATTTTCCTCTTTTTCTCATAGCTGCTTTGACATCTTCTGGAAATGAACGTTTAAAAAGTAAGTTAGATTAAATATCTGTGAATAGCGAAATAAACAACAAATAAACCACCAATAACTGCAATCTTAATTCTGGTGAAACTCTAATTCCGCAAGACTCCAAATTAGAAAAAAAAAATTATGTAAAGTGATATTTGCTGAAACTTTGTTATCACAAACCCTTTGCAGATTTAAACATATATAGGGTATTTGAAATATAATTATAACAACTCCAACGTGGGAACAGGTTTTTTAGTTTGGGAAGGGTTGACACGGACGCAAAACTCAAGAAAGTATTGTTGTTCATGCTTAGAAAAAAAAAAGTATTATTATTTATAAAATATAAAAGAAAATGAGATAAGGGTTATGGAAGTGTTAGGTGGGGATGATGTGGGCCCCAGTAGGCAAGGAACTTCCTCTGTCGTGTTCTGAAGTGAACAGGATTCAATGGTATGAGACCCAACATCCCTGTAATGCCAGATAAATAAAAGTCATAAGTGGGTTTATAACCCAGTTCAATCTCCCTGTATCATAGCACTAAACAAAAAACATAAAATAGATAATCTAGTACTAAAAAATAATGGTATACATAGATTGATAAAGTAGACGATAAGCGATTATCTAAATTAATCTACATCATACATATTTCTTAGCATATGTTTCTCAACCCTAATTAGTTTTCTCTCGATTATTTTTAATTTTTTATCTATTTTTTCTGTAGTTTTTTCTTTATCTGTTTCTTTATAGTTTTATGTTATATCCATTTTTATTATCTCATTTTTTTTATATGTTCACTTTGTTCATAATAATCAATGTATGTAGTCAATATTATATATAATGTTTTTCTTTTTAGATATTCTCTCATTTATAATTAGATTCTTTATTTATCTTGGTAACTCTCATCTTTAAGAAATAACTCTATTATTTCTTATAGCATCATTTGTGAATATCATGCCCTAAATACCATCGTCTTCAATAGCTCACCTGTTTCCTTGACGATGTAGTATTATGTTTCAACATTAAGTTTTAATCGATTTGCTCTTTTCGTGATCTTAGTTCTAAGTTCGACATTTTTAATATAAATTTGAGGACAACTATAATCAGTTTTTGTTTTTTCAATGATATTCAGTTTCCTGTTTATTTGTTTTTTTTTATAATTTTTCTGTTTATTTGTTTATTCTGTTATATTATCTCATTTTGTATGTATTCATCCAGTTCACAATAATCGATATACCAAGTAAGCATTATCATGTTTCCCTTTTAAGATTTCTTCCCTTCTTTCTTCAAAATATTTTCGCATATTTATGCTTATTTTGTTAATGGTTTTTCTGAATGATTTATAAGACAATCACAAATTTAGAGTCAAGTATTACATTATATTAGTATAAAATACATTGCTTTTTAATTTTTACAAAATAGTGAATTGTTTAGAAAAAAAAATTAGTATCCTAAATTTAAAATAATTATATATTCATATGAACAATTCGAAAAAGATGAATAAAACTTGAAAATCCACATACCTAATGTTACGTGGAGTGCAGTTGTAATTTGGAAGTGATGAAAGTTGACGATGATAAGTGTCTGTCAGCAGTAGGTCACTTTTTTCAGAATGTTGCTGACTGGTTACCAAGAAGCAGAGGTGGTAACTGAAAAATCCTTCATGTTTACATGCGTTTTTAAAAACAACTCCTATGATATCAGTGTGTACGCACGTCTTTTTTTT